CTAAGCTAACTAGCTGCACTCACCTGGATACAAGCGCCGGTCTTCCATTTACACAGACTGCAGATGAGCGACCAGCGGCTGGGCGGGATGTGGGACACTTTGGTGATGGGCTCCATCCTCTCGGGACAAGCGATGCTCACCTAGGAAGGGACGGCAGGGTGAGGTCATTCAATGCTCCCTGTGTGTGTGTGTGTGTGTGTGTGTGTGTGTGTGTGTGTGTGTGTGTGTACCTCTGGGATCCACAGAGCACAGCTCACATGAGCCCACTTGGTCCCGGCTCTGGTGGCCTTCATGGCTCCACCCTTCTGAGGACAGAGGAGACACTGAGGGTCGATGCCGAGGACGCACGTCCTGCAGAGCCAGTTCCCTACGGGCACTTTGACGATTCCATAGCAGGCCTGAGAGGAGGACACGGAGTATTTACTGAAGGATGTTTTCTATCATCGGCACAAGAATAGACATGATTCTAACATGAGATCATAAAAACAAAAGCAACGATTAAGAAGAGACGCTACAGTAGAATAAAACACTTAAAGAATAGATATCACCATGAAAGGTCACCGGTTCATTACTCACATGAAGACGATTATCTTTGTGTCACAAGTTCTCTGAAATGAGAGTTACCTGGTGCACACAGATGTTGCACTTGTCACAGAACACCATGTCGTTTCCCTCCTCGCTGTCGGGCGAGCGGCACACGTCACAGATGACGTCCTCGTCGTACTCGATGCCGAGGCCCTCCACCGTCTCGATGGCGTGGTTCATGTTGTCGTGACACTGGCTCTCCAGAGCCTCCATCGCTCGCTCCATCGTCAGCTCGTCCACAGGCTCCTCCCCTAGAGGACAGACGGACACCGTCAGTCCTGCAACGTACTCACAGCTCGGTGCTGGACTCGTATGAAGTCATTTCTGAGGAATGACCCCGTGAGATTAGTGTGTTTATGGATATGTATGTATACGAACATGTATGTGTACATGTGAGAGATAAGTAATGGGGTGGAGGGGCTCTTGTAGCTGCCTTTAAGTTAAGTGATGATCAATAAACGACACAGAGCTGTATCGAGTAGTACTGAGCGGGTTCTCCTCACCCATGCGCTCCAGCTCCCTGTTGAGCGCCTGCAGCCAGTGGAGGTCCATGTCGTCCAGGTCGTAGCGACACATGGCCTCGGCCAGATCCTTGATGTCCACGTAACCCGGCTCTGTGGACTCGCGGCTGGAGCACTGGATGTGCTTCCTCTGGTGGGTGTAGAGGATCTCTGTGGGCTTCTCCTCCATGACTCTGAACACACAAGACACATCTTAGCACCGGCATGATTGGGATTATACGTTTTATTAAACACTGACCAAACTAGCAGGATGACCCTTTCATAAAGCCGAGTCTTTGGCTTCTCTAATGATCTAGTTCAGATGGTGACGTCATGCACCAATGACGTCACCTAAGGTCTCTAAGGAGAGCAGAGAACGGTTCTTTCACATCCAACTCTGTGAAGTCAGGTTGAGTTTGGACCAAACCAGAGTCAGTGACTGTTGACGGTTCCAATGGTTTAAAGGAGAGATTGATAATTCTATGTTTTTTAAGTTAATAAGTTATAATAATTGTCCAAAAATTATTTATTATATGTTCTCATCAACGTGCGTCACATAACATTATTCCAGCGTCATGTTTCCATCACTGCTGAGTCGTTAACACTGAGTGATGATTGTAATCTTCATCACTGAAGACGAAGGACTCGTGTCAGTGGGTCTGTTGTCCGGAGTGAAGCAGACTTCTCTGACTCATGTAACCCCGTCGGTCTGACAGCCGGACAGCGTTACCTGACCGACGGCTCTGGGATGGTGTCTGGACTCGCCAGCACCTGGACCCCCTTCTCCCACTCCTGCTTCCAGGCGTCCGCCAGCAGGTAGTAGTCCTCCGGGGACACGTGGTGGGAGTCGGGCAGCTTCATGGCGCTGATCAGGTCTTTTCTGAACACCTGAGGGGTGAGACAGCAGCAGAGTGAGACACCTGACCTCACCTGTAAACAGAGCTCAGCTGCGACAGCAGAGGACGGGAACTTACTTCAGCCGGTTTCTTCTGGTTGGATGCCGGAGCTCCAGGTTTGCCGCCTCCATACTTGTTGGAGGAGCAGAAGGAGGTGGAGGGACCTGATGAAAGAATGCAACGTGTGAATGAAAGAGCAGCAGAGAAGAAGAGGAGATTCATGTTCACGTTGACTCACTCTCATTGTCTGAACTGTCGCTGCTGCTCGACGACCTGAGACGTTTCATCCTGTAACATCCTGAAGAGGAAGAGGAAGAGGAGGAGACGTCAGCCGCTAGTTCAATAAAAACTGTGTTTAAATCATTAAACATTTTATTTTATACAGGCTGAGAGATAAACCAACACATTCAAAAACACAACCATTAACTACCTTATTCTATTTGTATTTAGCAAATAAGAAATATACAAAATATATATATATGTATTAACACTAGTATAAACTAATATATGCATTAACACTAGTATAAACTAATATATGCATTAACACTAGTATAAACTAATATATGTATTAACACTAGTATAAACTAATATATGTATTAACACTAGTATAAACTAATATATGTATTATTACTAGTATAAACTAATATATGTATTATTACTAGTATAAACTATTATATGTATTAATACTAGTATAAACTAATGTATTTATTAATACTAGTATAAACTAATGTATTTATTAATACTAGTATGAACTAATATATGTATTAATACTAGTATAAACTATTATATGTATTAATACTAGTATGAACTAATATATGTATTAATACTAGTATAAACTAATGTATTTATTAATACTAGTATAAACTAATGTATTTATTAATACTAGTATGAACTAATATATGTATTTAATACTAGTATGAACTAATATATGTATTAATACTAGTATAAACTAATATATGTATTAATACTAGTATAAACTAATATATGTATTAATACTGGTATAAACTAATATATGTATTAATACTGGTATAAACTAATATATGTATTAATACTGGTATAAACTAATATATGTATAAATGTACTATGTACTATATATGTACTAGTATAAACTAAAGGAGACTACAGGCTGTGAATGAGCACGGATATGACATCACACTGACTAGAGGTTTCTGGGTAACAGGAAAACAATGTCCGCCTTGTTTACATGTATTTCTTCATATATTGTATTTAATGTACTAATATCTGTGAGTACTGCGGTCAGAAACAGAGTAAACAGTGTCCGCCTTCATCAAAGAGCCGTGTTGGCGCCAAACACACACACTGAAGTTAGCTTCTGATTCGACAACATAGCGGAAAGTTAACTTCATTCATTGCTGTTCAATGGGGTCTAGGTGCAAACAAAGCAGTAACATCTCTATTTTATTTACATTTTCACAAACAAAATAAGGCTTTCATAAATCTTAAACTGGGTTTCAAAGAGTCTCTGGCTTCTCTCTAATCTAGTCCAGACTTGATCAGAGTATGTATAATGGTTTTAGTAAGAAACCTGGTTCAATGTGGTTTACATGTTAAAAATGTTTTTTACAGGCCTTAATAAAATAAGGCTTTTATTTTATAGGCCTTAACTTTTCCCCTTAGCTGCCAAATCGGAAGCTTGAAATGTGAAGCTAACTTCCTCTCAATCACGCACACAAGCTAACATCCGGGCCTCTAGCGGGCTGCACTGCAGCCTGTGGAGCAATCAAACGTGGGCGCCACCACCACACAAAGATGTCACTTCCTAGATCCATTAAGACGAAACTACCACACAGCTCGACCGGGTCCGTTAGTCAGAGTAGTAACGGTCATTTGACGGACACGAGCGCGCGCAAAGCTAACGGTCGCTAGCATGAACGCAGCAGAGAGAGAGAAAAAGAAGGCCTCATCCGGGGTATTTCCTGCCTCTCTCTCTATCTCTCTCCTAACACACGCGCATATTGTTTCACATTCCTCCCCCCGTTTTTACCTCCACTGCTGTCCGCTTTATTCCAGCCACATATCCGCCCGGACACCGCGTCCAACATGTACCTGTAGAAAAATATATCCGAGGCTCTGGTTGGTTGTAGCTGCGGGGGTGAAAATCTGGAGGTTTGTATCCGACCACAGAGGGGATCTCCTGGGTAGCAAGTCGGTCCACCACGGCACAACGGCTCTATTGTACCGCGCCTCCCGCAGGGTCCTAAACCCCGCCGGCTTCCCTACGACCTAGGTGCGCTCGATTTGTCAACTGGCGCTAACCTCCAGTGGTGGTGGTAGAAGGACTCAGTAGTAAAACATACTTTTACAATTAAAAGTAAAAGTACTAAAATATTGGCATACAAATATACATATATTAGCAAAAGCAAAAGTACTATTTCAGAATAAAATACTTTATTGTATTATAATTATTGATGAATGTGTTGCTTTTATGTTGCAGCTGATAAAGGAGCTCATTTTTTACTACTTTATATTCTGCTTTTAGTTTAATCTATAATAATACATCATTTATTAGTTCATTATTATTTTGTATTAATTAACTGAATCTGAAAAGAAACTAAACCTGTGTCGTGGAGTAAAAAGTACATTTATAAGTACCTTCAGTATATATATATGTATATATATATGTATATATATGTGTATATATATGTGTATATATATGTGTATATATAT